ACACTAGAGAAAATGTGAAGGAAGGTCGTTATGAGTTACCTTCATAACAGAGTGAAATTATACTGATTACTCATTTTCATATGCTATGAGGTTTGGTGGATGCCAGGGTACCATGTTTGTTTCCTAGAACATAAATACAGGGAAGGCTTGTAGGTAGTGATGGGAATTTTGCAGAAGATAAACAAGTCACATGGTGTCAATAGTCCTGGCTATGAAACAGTTCAACATCTCACTTCCCAAACCATCAATTTTTCATCCCATCAGCCACACCAGCTGCTCCTGAGTCCTAGGTGTCCTGGCATCTCTTGCCATTAGACTCATTGACCTTTAAGCCTAATCTCAGCTCCTAGCTCTCTTAGAGGCCTTCCATGCCCACCCACCCCTACCTGCTGTGCTCTCAATTCCTGCAGCTTCTACTTTCGCATTCACAATGGTAATGGTGACAATAGCAGCAGAAGTGGCAACACATACAGTTAGGATAAAAACCTTACGCATGCTGGAACACTGCTAACTCTGTGCTTTGTCACAAGCCTGCCATACCAGATATGCACTGCAGTCATGGGAAGAATGTCCTATCTATCACCTCTAGACTTCCAACAACCTCAATAGGAGGTGTCACAGATGAAGAACACGAAGGTCTTTAGATGTCAAGTCCAAGTAAATGTTCCCTAAGGAGGTGAGGTGGTTTGACTGAACTATGCCTCATGCTCTTTGGCAGTGGTCCCCAGCTGGTGGTGCTGTCTGGGGAGACTTATGTGGTACAGCCTTACTGGAGGAAGTATGTGATTGAGAAGAGGTTTTGAGATTAAAAGCCTCACATGCATCCAGTTGGCTGTCTCTGCTTTGTACTTATGGCAGAGGATGTAAGCTCTCAGCTTCCTGCTCCAATAATCATGCCTGCTACTTGTCGTCATGCCTCCTTGCCATGATGAATGCTTATCCCTCTGGAACCATAAGCCAAAATAAACCCTCTGTTCCTTAAGTTGCCTTTGATCATGGTACTTTATATCAGAGCAACAGAAAAGTAACTGACATAGGAGAAAAGATGCTCTTTCACTTAAAATGGGGTTACATCCTGATATACTCATTATACGTTAAGAGCTTGATATGTGGGAAACCCTCTTACAACACCTAACCTAGCTGACACCATAGCTTAGTCTCCGCAGTGTGCAGTGTCATATCAGTGTTTCCCCGTGACCACACATCTGACTGGGGGCTTCTGTCTACTGCTTACCCTAGCAACAAAAGAGAGGATCATATGTTCATTGATAGCTCAGAGAAAGCAAATTTCAGAGTTTTAAGTATGGTTTCTGTGGATGCATCATTACATCAATGAAAAATCAGAAACTGAACCATTGTAGATCAGAGACCATTTGTCTGTTTCTCATGTCCATGGCAGAAAAGAATGAGATAATGCCATGCAGTTACCCAACTGTCCCGAGGGTGGCAGGGAGTTTGCAAGCGGAGATGCTGGGGTGATGACTGGCAAGTTCTGATACTGACAGTTGTGAGCATTCCATGGATCACAGAATTAACTCCTGTGGAGCACCTACTGTAACTTGGCAGTGGGCTGTTAGTGCCCCTTCATTAGCTAAGAAAAAGTAATGTTAACAAATGGAGTAAGCTGCCCCAAGTCATGTACTTGTTCAAATGCAGGTCTATGTGACTTCTCCATGCCCCTGACCTTATTTAACAGTTCTGCAATCAAGAGTGAAAGCTGTTTCTCTACTAGCTGCTTCCCCGACACAAGTAAGGGCTGAAGGAGATTCTGGTGAAACTCTGCAGCTCTGCCCAAGCATGGACCTGACTTCATTATTTCTAATTGAGTTGTCTGGTTTTGCTATAATATTCATTGGTTGCTAAGCAACTGCTCAGTGAGCTCCAATGCTGAGCCTCCCCCCCCTTTTCTTTCTTTTTTTTTTTTTTTGGAAACTAAGGAAGACCTCAAGAAGAATGAGATAAACAAGAGTTTGGGGTATAAGGGGACCTGGCTCTTGTTGTGCAATAAGCAAGTTGTGTGGATGGAAGGCTACTTTCTCCTCTCTGACACTATTCCTTTACTTCTCTGGGACCTAAGGTTGTCACCTGTAGAAATGTTTACCCCCTAGAGAAGTGAGAAGACAGTAAGAGCATCAAACAGCTGGCAGGGCTTCCAGTGTGTGGTAAGAGTTCCTGTAAGGTGTCATGATCATCATATACTATTTGAAGGTTAAAGAGTTTGGGTAAAACATTTAGTTAGATTTAAGTGTGGAAAAGTGAGTCCCTGCCAGGGTATGCTCGCCTTCTTGGACACACAGCTATTGCAGCAAATAGTACTCTTGACCTCATCCTAAACCAGTAATAGTACACTGCTATCAAGTGTACCCATGGACGTGCCACACAAAAGAAGCAAATAGCCGCCACTCGTTAGAAAAAAAATTCCCTCTCAGGAAGGCAAGTCAGTATAGCTGTGTACATTAAAAAAAAAAAAAAAAAGACAGTGGGTTTATTTTGGCTTTCTGAGTGAATTACTACTGGTTCGCAAAATCCTGGTGTCTAGAAACAATCAAGGTCAGAGGCTACAAGTCAGTGATCAGGTGAGAGAAGTCTAATACAGACTGGGGATTCAGTTTGGCTCCATAACATTAAAACTCATGTTCAATTATTCGCTCATTTTTAAAGATTTTATTTTATTTTATGTGCATGAGTATCCTGAATGAACACATGCATTTACCGTACATGTTGTGCGTGGTGTTCAGAGAGGGCCAACCCTCTAGAGTAATGTATGGCTGTGTAGGATCTCACCTTGTGTGTTCTGTAAGAGCAACGGGTAGCTCTTACCTGCTAAACTATCCCTCCACCGCCCACCTAATAATATTAAAACATTAAAATACATAAAACATCAGATCCTCTGTGAAATATAAAGAACTACTAATGCCAATCCTGTCCCAACAGAGACAATTCTACACCTGGAGAGATGACTCTTGCTTAGACAGACTTATGGACTCTTTTAAATAGCACGTTTCCTAGACAGGGTCTGTAAAGACAGTGATAGAGTTGAGGGGAAATCTGCACTACTTCAGAGCTCCTGATGAGATTCATAAGGCGACCCTGAGCTAAGCAAACTAGTTACTGGTGGTGACAGATGTTGCCTAGCACTATGTCACCATAAGCAGTCTTAAGCCATGGTCCAGTGATACATGGGGAGAAACCATAAAAACGTCTTCTTGTGTGCTGTGCTGTAAGACATGCTGCCCACACGGTAAAGTTGGGAAATGGACCACTGAGGCGAGGGAGGGTCTGTTTACTTTCAATTTCTTGCAGTGAGGACACCTTGGGCGCTTCTGAGGAGAAGCCAAGAAGGTGAAGGCTGGGTAGAATAGTCTTCAGACGCTCTCTTCTCAGCTTAAGTTGAGGATGGCCCTAAACACCTACCTATTCCTCCAGTATGTAGCCTAGCATCTTTCTGACTGCTGAAAATCCCACATTGTGAGGACTGAGGCAGAGCTGAGAGTTCAGTCTGACCACACGAGGGCGTCCTTGTCCTACATATTGGGATTTTGTTACTCAATTGGAGCTGGACCTGGAGAAAACTCAATGAATGGAACCTGGCAGAATCAGGAGTTGTAGTTCATTCACAGGCTTTTCATCACAGCTCCATCCACTTCCATTGTGGAAGGTCTTATTGCTGTGGCCACTCACCTTTTGGTTCTCTGACACTGATGGGGCTCTTCCATGCTTACCAGGAAGGAACTGATACCATGCTCTGTTGCACACACTTTGAAATGACACTCTAATGAACCAGAGGTTGAATATAGCGTACCCTGGAGGGTACCCTCCCTTGCTGGAGAGAGACAGAGAGGATGGGCTTGGGGGAGAGATGGAGAGATGGAGGGATGGAGGAAGGGAGAGAGGGAAGGACTGAGGCAGAGAGAGATGTCTCAGGAGTTCATATCTAATGTATGTGGCGTAGTCAAATACCCCAGGGGAGTCAGGCAATGTCTGAGGCCTACTAGACACTTCTCAAGTCCTGTGGCTCCCATCTCTCTGCTTGCCATTGCGCCTCTCCAAGCCTTACTGCCCCATGGTGTAACAAAGGGCAGCCCCACATGCTTTTAAGGCTTGGCATGTGCATCCTAAAAGGACAAGGTATATAAACCATCTTTAGGGATATGTGGATCCTGGTAGGCACTCTCTTAGACATAGAAGAATTGCACGCTGAGGAATGACAACTGGAAAAAGAGCCTTTAACGATGTTGCCGGGCTGTGTGACTTTACATTTCTCCCATGTTTAATTCTGAGCTGTGTGAATTCTACAGTCCCTCTCAGTTCATATTGCTCGCAATGCTGCAGTAAATGTAGTTCCCTAGGCAGCCACCCAGTCTTGTACCAATGTACTGCTTTTAGCCCTACTCTGTGGGGAGAAGTGAAAAGGACACCCGAGATTCATATGATTCTGGGGTTGGGTGTCCTGTGTTGAACTCCCAGCTATGTAAGATAGGCCAGTATCTTCCAGCCTTGCTCTGGAGTTTATTTTAAAATGAAGACAACAATATGACCTGTGTCAGGGGCTGTGAATGGAGGAAACAGAATGAGATCTTATCTGTCAATCATTTTCTGGCATACACTTACGAGCTTCGATACATGTTAGGCGTCGATATTACTTAGGTTTGTTTTAAAGAGCAGGCAGTGATCTTTAAAACTGAGAATGGTTCCAGGAAGCCTGTGTGCTGCAAAGTTGGAAGAGGAGCAGACATTTTGAGTAAAAGAGATGTTTCCATATCAAATTAACATCTCACTATGGAAACTTGGGTCTAGTCTGTGCATGGGATAACAGAACTTCTCACATCCATTTCGAGCAGGGGCAATCTGCCCTTTCTGGGTTGTAATTGCCCTAGCTATTTAGGGTAAGTGGCAAACTAGACCAAGGTCCTGAGGGCCTTCAGGTCCAGCTCTTCAGATCCTGTGTGACTACCAGCCTGAAGAGTGGATAGAGGAGCCAGGACCCCTGGGCTTCTTACCTGAGGTACTCATAGAGCCCATACATAGGCAGGAAGTCAATGTCAGATAAGAACATGTAGGGTGTGCTGATATGCTTCATAGCTACGTTGCGCAGGAGGTTGACAGGATAGAACTGACCCTCCTTATACACGATGTGGTAGCCCACATTCTGGCGGCTCATGAGCACCTCGGATCCCTGGGCGTAGCGGAGGAACTGCTGGGCTTCAGCATCCGACAGGTAGAGGGCCAGGCTGATGGGTCCCTCCCAGTGCTTACAGATGGCCTCTAGCATCTGTAGTCTGTAAGAGAGAGGAAGAAAGGAGCATCAGCAGGGCTATCTTCCAGTCTCTGTCTCCAATGTCTTTGGGTTAATCAGCTGCAAATCCAAATCTCTTAACTAAATATGATTCAGTTCCTTACCGGTAAAACAGACACAGAACACCTACCTTGTTGATTCTAGTTTTTCTCTGCTTGCAACTGACATAAACAGTCAAACACACTCTAAGTCTCACATTCATCCTCAAAGGTGCTATAGATTGGCTGGGTGTTCTCCCAAAAGGTTTACGTGTTGGAGTCCAGGTCCTCAGTGTGGTACTGTTGACACCTTTAAGAGATGAGACTGAGCGGAAGGTAGCTCAGTCATCTGGATTGCCATCCTTAGAAGGGATGAATGCAGTTCTCCACCAGTGTGGGCTATTTAAAAAAAGTGACTCCCTTGGCTTCCTGTCTCACAAGAGGTCCTGCCTACTTCTGAGGCAGTGGCTTTCATTGAAGAGACAGGTGAAGGTGGACATAATGGAACACACCTTTAATCCCAGCAGTTAGCAGGCAAAGGCAGGTGGATTTCTGTGAGTTCAAGGCCAGCCTGGTGTACAGTGAGCTCCAGGACAAAAGACAGTAAGAGATACTCTGTCTCAAAAAACCAACTCCCCTGGAGAAGAGGAGGAGGAGGGGGAGGAAGAGGAGGAGGAGGAGAAAGGTGTTTTTGATACCTTTTCTGCATGCAAATTGTTTCTCTTTCTGCTTCTTTGCCATGTTTTAACAGGCAAGGAGACCCTTTGGTTCCCAACATTCACATGCATTTCTGATCCTATTGGCAAACACCCAGTTCACCATTTCTGAATGGGCCGCTACAGTTTGGATTTAGAGCTTCTAACACTGTGAAGTAAAGAGATTTCTTTCTTTCTTTTTTTTTTAATATAAGTACTTAGCTTCAGTTATTTTATCACAGCAACAGAAAATAAATATTGCAAAAGGCATGGGCTGAGTATCTGTATGACCTTAGTATAAGGGCTGAACTTTTCCAGCTCAAACTTGTGTTTTCTCTCAGCAAAGCCTCAAAAAAGCTTATGACCTCCCAAAGCACTGACCACTTCCAGAAGCTTAGTCCCAAGGGACATTCAAACAAACATTAAAATGAGAAGTAAATATAATTATTGACAAATTCGGGCATGCCAACCACCACCTCCCAGAATTCTCTCGGCACTCCTGTGTAACTTCCTACTGAAAAAACTGGAGTTCTTTGTGAACTTATTGACCCAGTATGTATATGGACAGAAACTTTAATGTGGTCTTGGGGTGGGTGAGAAAAGAACAAAATTAGCATTTTATAAAAGAAACAGAAAAAAAAAAAAGGGCACAACAGAACCTCAACTACATGTATGGCACCTGGGGTTGTGTCATCTTCAGTTTTCAACATTTCCTGCTCTAGGACACCCTGAGAAAGCTTGCAAGTCTAAGATGGGCCTAATAGCTAAGCATGCCTTGGCTCAGGAGGCTAAGGCAAGAGAACTGCTGTAAGGTCAAGGCTAGCCTGGGCTGTATAGCTACATAGGGAGTTCCAACTCAGCCTGGGCTCCACTGTGAGATGCTTTCTCAAAAACCAAAACCAAAAGCAAGCAAGCAAACAAACAAACAAACAAAAAACAAATTAAAATTCAGACCAAACAGAAACAAAAACAGAAAACTTTTCAGTGCTACCACACAGAGCTGAAGAGACAGGGGAGTCACAAAGTCCAGAGAAAGAACAAAAAGGTGTCTCCAGCAGGAATGAGGCAGCAAGAGGGTTTGACAATCAATCATGAAGATTCTATTTCAAAGACATCAGAAGTGCCTGTGTATAAAGCCTGTGCTAAAGACACAGCAAAAGCCCATTCAGTGCTTTTTCCTCTACTCAGCAAGAATGTCCACGTAAACAACAGTCTCTTGGCCAGAGTGCCTGCTTTATAGGGGCAATTACCAAGAAATCACTGCCATGCATTTTCATGCTTCTAAACAAAAAGGGAGCAGGCACACCTGCCTCTGTTCAGTGGCTTTCTCCTTGGACTTCCAGAGCTTTCTTACAGTGATTCTTTCAGTGGCTATTGCTCTGATCTGCTGTTTCTTTCACTGGGAAGGATTCAGAGGCTCATCATGGTAAAATACCCCCGTGCTTTCTGTCCCCTGCAAACCACGGCCAATGAAATATTAAAGGCTGATGGAAGCAGAGTCCCACTAAACTTGTGGGCCCGTTTTGAAGGATGCTCCTGCTTCTGCCTGATTCCTGAGGTTCTTCCTTCATGCTTCTGTGGAATGGAGAAACTGAGCTCCCATGGACATGGCTCTGAATCCTTTAGAATTTGAAAGCAAACAGCAAGAGTGATTGACCACTCCTCTGTGTTCAAATCCTAACTCCTACAGTGATGGCCTTGGATTAAGGGGCTTTGGGAAACGATTGTGTCATAAGGGTACAGTCCTTGTGACTAGGGCTAATACTTTAATAACAGACCCCAAACAATTCTCCCTTGAGTACCCTGTATCCATATTTGGGCATAATTTAGTAACCTAATTTCTGTAACTCTTCCTCGAAAAAGCCTCACACCCATGCACATATCATTTCTTCTTTGCATCTCTCTTTCTTATATGTACAAATCTGTATTAAAATAACTTTCTCAAGCACCCAGTATGCTTTGAGAAGGTCCCAGAAAGTTTTTTTGCTCCCTATACCACATTAGGATCAAGTGAGAAGAAAATCATTTAGAACCAGAAACCACCTCTCACAAGATCCTCAATCTGCCATCACTTCAGTCTTGAAAACCTCTAGAACCATGGGAAATGAGTTTCTGCTATTTACAAGTTTTTCCAATAGTCTATTTTGTTGTAAAGCCATAGTAGACTAGGTGTGGTAGCATAATCCCAGCACTTTGGAGGCAGAGACAGTCATATCTCTGTGAATTCCAGGCCATCCTGGTGTACATAACAAGTTCCAGGCCAGCCAAAGCTACTTAGTGAGACTTTGTTTCCAATTTTAAAAAAAGAAAGGAAGAAAGAAAGGAAGGAAAGAAGGAGGAGAGAGAGACAGAGAGATACAGAGAAAGAGAGAGATAGAGAAGGAAATCACCACTTTTGAAAGCCTCCGGGAATAGGTTTCTCAAGAGAGCAATAGCTCTGTGTAAAATCAGCCTAGATGTCAAACGAGTTTGTATGCTGTGGGTAGTGGCTAAGTGAGTGACAGAAGAGGAAAGACGTCCTGGAGTTGAGTAGATGCCTCCTGGAGGCCTCAATCTTAGGCAGCTGGCACACTCTTCTCAACATAAGAAGTCATGCAGGATTTAATGGTGTGATGTGTCAGAGATCACCAAGTCACAGGGAGAAGGAATTACTTCTCAGTGTCCAGACTCGGCTTGGTGCTTTTAAACATAAGTACCCTGAGGCCAACCTGGGCACTTTATCAGAAAGCATCCCTGTCTCCACAGGGGCTCTGTGGGTCTGGTTGGGACTGAGGCTCTATATTTCTAGTTCTTTCTCTTCCATGTTTAGAGAGTAAGCAGGAGAGCCGGCAGCCCCATGATGCCTACCACAGTTACTTCTCTCACGTCTTTCTCAAAGGGATGACAGAGAGCGAGAGTCTGGCACTGACCAGATGTGCTATTGTGATGGTCTGTGTATTAGTCCCTTTCACACAGCTAGTCATCTGGGAAGAAGGGATGGCCAACTGAGGGACTGCCTCCATCAGAATGGCCTGTGGGCAAGTCTTAGTCCCCCGTGGGTAGTGCCACGGGGTTGTAGTAAAAAGGTGGTTGGGCAAGACATGTGCAACAGGCCAACAAGCAGTCAGGTTCTGCCCTGACTTTCTTGAATGATGGATTGTGGTGGAAATGTATAAGTCAAACGACTTCCTCCCCCCGCCCCCCGTGGCTTTTGGTCACAGTGCCTTCTGCAGCAATAGAAAGTAAACTGCCATTCTGCTCAGCCCCCTCTTTCTATTTCTAGCCTCTGCCAGGATCTCATGGGGTAGAAAAGCCACACTGGTGGCTGGTGAAACACTTTCTGATTGGAATTCTAGAAGTAGAGTTACCAAGCCTGCAGGTTTCCTCCCCTAACTCGTTGTGCCATTCCCACAGGATCTACCTCTGACTCAAAGCTTTACAAGCACACTGAATTATTTCCTAAATTAAAAATCAATCCACGAGGCACCATTCAGTATACTGTGTGCTAACTGGATGTGTAGGGTGGAGTGGAAGTGGTTGGAGTAATTTCTGCATTGGCTTTGGTGCTGCATTATGATTTTTATTGCCACATGCTACATCTTCTGAGGTGTTGTCTGGGTGGCAGTGCTTGTCACCATGCACTAGAGGTTACCCCTTATCTGCTAAGCTTGGGTGGGTGCAATCCGAAGGGACAGGCTTCGCGGTCAGTGTTTGCTGCTAATGCAACTGGGGCTGGAGCACTCTCTAAGGGGCCATGTGGGAAGGAGTTGCCTGGCCACTGTGGCCCAGGCCAATGTGAGTCTCTTGTTGGCAGTGGCTTAGCCAATATTACTCATTTATAACAAGCATGTACAAGCGAATGGATCTGCACTGCAAACCTAACACATTCTCCTGCTACCAGTTTATAAATCCTAGGCAGCATGAAAATGAACAGACAAACATACACAAGGGCAACTAATAGTTGCTTATATCACAACTTTTTCAGCACTTTCCATCATTTTATGGCAAACAATAATAAATGAACATTAATAATATGTGAACAATAATAAATGAAGCTGACTTGATAGTATCACGACTTCATACAGTGAGGCTGAAAAGGGCCAAGTACCTGACTCAAATCCACATATGTAGGCAGTGGTACAGCTGGGCCGAGTGCAGGTCCTTCTTTTCTCTCTTTATTGTCTCTAAATGCCTGCCTCCTTTCCCAGTTTACTTCAGCTGTGAACGTGACACAGTAGAGAGTCGTCTGAGAGATTCTCGATTGAGGGATTGCTCAGACCAGATAAGTCTGTGTCCATGTCTTTGAGGTATTATCTTGGTTGATGATTGCTGTAGGATGGCCCAGCCCACTGTGGGTTGAGCCTAGACAGTCGGCCTGTCTACTATCTCTAGACAGGTGTTCCTGGGCTATGTCAGAAAGTTAGCAGAGTGTGAACCTGTCAGTGAGACAGTGAGGGATAAGGAGTATTTATTTATTCATGGTTTATGTTCTTAAGTTCCTCTCCCAACTTTTGTCAGGGATGAACTGTGACCTGAAAACATAAGCAAAATAATTTTTCTTATTTTCCCACATTGCTTTTGATCAGAGTGTTTTATCACAGCAACAGAAAAGTGAACAGATACCCAGAAATTTCCAGCAGGGCATTCAGGTCTAGCCAATGGATGACAAATATTTTACAAGGGCTTCCACAGATTCTCCCATTCAACTCTAACCAGATTTTTAATCCTATTTCATAGAAGAAAAAAGAAATTTAAGGTAGTAAATGAAATGCCAAAATTATCAGCTGGAGAATGAAGGAGATGAGACTTGAGTAGAGACTTCGTCCTTAGGCCTAGTGCTGTCTATACAGCACACATTAAAAACTGGTCATTCATGTTGGTGTCAGTTCAGAGCTTTTGTCTGTTCATCAGCGCAAAGTACTGGGCCTGCACACTCTTATGATCATTATAATCTTAGAGGTAATTCCAGTAATAATGTCATTATTCTCAGGTAACAGATAAGGACACTGAGCCTTAGAGGCAAGATGGCTTGTCCAAAAAGTCAAACTTAAGAAGGTCAGAGCTTGGACTAGAGAGATGGCTCAGAGGTTAAGAGCACTAACTGCTCTTCCAGAGATCCTGAGTTCAATTCCTAGCAACCACATGGTGGCTCACAACCATCTGTAATGATATCTGGCGCCCTCTTCTGGTGTGCTGTGAAAACAGAGCATTCAAATACATAAAAATAAACAAAAATGTTAAAAAAAAAAAAAAAAGGGCAGAGCCACTGATAACAGTGTCTGCCTCCAAGGACCAGGTCTCGTGCTATATACCACTTGCATGGGTGTATAAGTCAGAGGTCAACCAGTATACCTTCCTCAATAGTCCTCTCCACCTTATTTTCTGAGAAAGGCACCCACTTCCATTAGTTACATTCAATAAGAGTCGTTCCCAGACAGCCACGGCATTCAAACTCCCGGATCTCCTGGATGGTGCTCTGTGAGTCTCTGCATGCTTGGGTTCTTGCTCCTTCAGGTTCTGCACATTCTTTATCCATTCATGACTAATAACAGAGGTATTTACGGAACACCAATTGGACGCCTTGTACTGTTCTAAGTACCATGACTCATCTCACCCTTAGAACAAACCCAAGGCATCTTCATCCACAGCCCAGATGGGGCATGCCAGGTAGTACAAAGTCAACCAAATGTCCTTTCGAAATGAGGCGTGATTACACAAAGGGCACTGGGTAAGGGCAGCCACTGTGAGGCATGTGTAACGTAGAGAACACGCTGCTCAGCCGGGATGAGAGTCAACCATCTGAAACAGCTGGGTAGAGGAAACCTGCTGATTTCTGGGACAGTGACCTCAGGCCTTCAACCCATTCACTTCTTGTAGCCACTGAGGCTTGCAAAATTACAAGTCAGAGCTGGAGAGATGGACGGCTAACTAATTAAGAGTATATACTACTCTTGGAAGGACCTGAGTTTGGTTCCCAGAGCCCACATCAGGCAGCTCACAGTTATCTGTAACTCAGCTCTAGAAGATTCAACACTTTCTTCTGGCCTATGTGGGAACTGTACTCAACTAAAATTATGTGGTTACACTTTTCTCCTGTTGGGTTCTTGGATATACAAATCACCCTTCCCAACATAGGCCCCTTAGACCCAAGTGTTCATCTGTCTGGAAAACTCTTTGAAACAGTTGTGCCTCTCTTTTTTCCACACCTTCTAGGTCTCTACAGATAATGTCCCTTTCTCAGAAAGACTTTTCCCAATGACATTATCTAAGGGACAGCACCCAACCTGACTGCTTTTATCTATCCCAGTCCCTTGTTGCAGTTATAATTTTACTTAAAACAATGTCAAGACAAAGATTCTGTCTTAAGTGGTTTGCTATGGAGCCTGGGTATGAATTTGTTTCAAACGCTCCCCATTGTGATTCAGTTCATCTCTGGTAATAACTGAGACCCAGCCTACCAGATTGTAATTGAGAAAGAGCCATCCCAATAGCAATGTCACTGGAAAACACCCCTTGAAGGACTGTTATATCAGGACTTATGTGAGGAAAAAAAATGCCCCTTGTTTTGTTTGGCCACTGCGGTGGGCTGAGTAAGAATGGTGCCTACAGGATTATATATTTGAATGCTCAGTCACCAGAGAATGGCACTGTTTGAGAATGATTAGGAGGTGTGGCCTCGTTGGAGTAGGTGCAGCCCTTTTTAAGGAAGTGTTGCTGGGGCTTTGAGGTTTCAGAAGCCCATGCTAAGCACAGTGTTCCTCCTTCCTTCCTGCCTGCAGATCAGCATGTAAGCTCTCAGTGTCATCCTTATATTCTAGCTGCCGTGCTTCCAACTATGATGATCATAGATCAATCCTCTGAAATTGTAAGCAAGCCCCTAATTAAATGTTTTCCTTTGAAAGAGCTGCCTTGATTGTCTCTTCACAGCAATAGAACAGTAACTAAGATAGCTACTGAGGTTCCAGCATGTAGCCTCTTCTGTAGGGCTTTCCTCCTCGTGAGCCAATCCTCTTTGGTATTCTCAGGCAACACCAGCAACTAAAAGCGGATCCCTTGCTGTGCAGCACTGACGATAGGACTAAGATCACTCTCAACTGCACTTTAGTTTTCAAGCCTAGGAGACCATCTCTGATCCTCTGCCGTTCCACAGGGTAAAAAGCATCAGTTACGGGGACTATGTGGTAGGTGCGGTCACTGGCCATACCTGTCCATGGAGAGCTGAGCAACCAGAGTGACATCTGTATTGTCAGCGGAAGGCTTGAACTCATAGTGCAGGAAGTACAGGTGAGTTCGGTGGACAGTGAAGCGCTCTCGCCGGAACTCATAACACAAGTCATCCTCATCCAGCTCTGACAGCTGCTTCTGGAGCTGCAAAAGAAGAAAACAGCTTGGTGGTAAGAGGCAAGGCTCCAAGGGGCCCAGAAGCCCGCCTTGTATTGTCTTTCCTTTCTGTGTTGGTGGTTCAACAGAAAGCACTCCCATTTTATTTCCTCAGCCATTTACTCTAACTTCAAAAGGTGATCACAAAGACAGGTACCTTTCCAGTACAAGAAATGAGCTCCCTTGTGGCCAAGAGAGATGGTGATGTTCCTTAACAAAAGCAGAGCAACTCAAATCCTCACAAACAAAACATAGGGTTTTTCCTGGGTAAGCCAGTCAAACAGTTTGGTTTCAGTAAACAGAAGAAGATCCTTGTAGAATGAGGAAATCCCAAATTGGAAGGGCTTCTGAGTGGCCTAATGCTTTTGTCTTCCTGAGCTACATATTTCAATCCTTGGGTCAGGTACAAGAGAGAAAAACAAAGCAAATTAATGAATGACAAACTCTTTCCTTTTATTATTTTTAAACCTAAATTTAGTCAGGGCAACCTTTTGCTTTTTTAACTTTTCTAACTTTTAATGGTAAGTCTGCCATTAGTAAAAAGCATCTTTAATTCTATTTCCCTCTCCTACCTTACCTAGTGAAAAGCGTAGTCTAACCTGGTAACCAGGAACTAAAAGCTTGCATGGCTACAGGTGCTCAACCTACTATATTTCCTTGCTGGAAAACTCTATAGTACCACTGCCATACAAATGATGCTCTCTGCTTAACAAACGAACACCTTAAATCTCAAAGAACCTGAAAAAATATTTATGACCTGGTAAAACACTAACTACAGTGATGGAAAGGGATTAGTATATGGGGTTGGGAGGTGGGGTGAGTGGTTTGGAGAAAGACAAAGGATCTCTGGGGTTATAGGAATGATCTACATCATCAGTGTGACATGTGATTTTACCTGAGTACGTAATTTGTGAATGCTCTGCAAACTACAGCTTTGGGCAGTGAAGACAGTACATGCAGTTTGAATTTCAAAAAAATTAAAATAAAAAAATAATAATGCCCTAAGGGTCGCACAACTGACTGATTTTCTTTCATCCTGTCACTTCAACCTCATCTATCACATGATATGATGTATTTGAATATAGATTAAAGTTTACATTGCTAGACTTACTAATCTGTCTGAACATAATAGACTGGTTTTCAAAAAAAAAAAAGTGCTCTTTTCTATCTCAAAACTAATAGCATAATTTACAAGAGTACACATTAACCTGCTTCTCTCAGTATAGCCCTCCATCATTGAAGACCATTGTCTTGATACATTACGCCATTGTGTTATTTCTCAAGAGAGCAGCCGTAGCATGCATGCACAGACAGCTTTACTCCCTTCCTCACTCCTCTCTGTGGAATGACCTCATTCTGTACAGTGGTACTTACTAAAGTTGCGAGTCTGTTTCCCTATCCTTGAAATCTAGGCTGGACTTGGGATAGGCTTTCATTGTTAGAAATCAGGGAAAGCAATGACCTCCTACTCTCAGGCTAGACTCCAAGAGGCAATGTGTGATTCTCCACCAGAGCCAGGAGCCAATGCTCAGGCTAGTATGGTGGGAAAGCAGAGATGCCTGTGGCAGGTGTATTTCCTCAGTTGCCCACATCCAGCGAGCCAACCCAGCCTCGCTCAGCAGACTTCTAACAAGTGGTCTTGTAGACCACTGAGGTAGAGGTTGTGAGCAACAGGGAACAGATAACGCTCTGTTAGCACTTGGTGGGGAGCATGCTTTCATTGTGGGGCCTGACAAGTCTACGGACAGTTCACCTCCTGATCCCTGTTTGGCAAATGCTCAGAGGTTCACCCGATGGGCTTGTACTATGCAGATGCAGCGACACATTTCCATATGCTCACTGGGAATACAGCTGAGATCTTGTAATCTGAGACACTTCTGGCCACCCAACTAATATAGGCCAGAAAGGCAGAATGGAATTCTCACTCCATCGATGATTCTATGAACCACATGACCCCTTCTGATATGCAAGATTAGACCTGAAGGTCTCTCCTTGACAGTCACAGAGAGCTGTCCTACCCATCACCTAAGTCCTCTGCAGGCTCCCCATTAATGCTCCTTAGACTTGATTTTCCCTCTGGCTTTCTATGACTTCCTTAGGCATCACGTTGTTCTCTCTTGGTAAAAACCCTCTCTCACTAGGCTCTTTTCCAACATCTACTTAGCTTTCAAGATTCAGCCTAGACGTTTCTTTTCTCCAAGACCATTGCAGGCCCTTCCAGGGAAGCTGTTCCACTTCTTCTCTAGACATGAAGAGTTGCTCCCAAACCCCAGTAAGCACTTGTCAATAACTGCAATTATTTAAAGGCCTCCAGCCTTACGAGATGGTCTCCTGCTTTTTGCTTACTGCATAACAGAATGTTCAATAGCGACAGGTTGCATGCATGAATACGATTTGCTGGGCACAAGAAGAACACCATCACCGTGCTGGTCTGCCTTCTAATTTTTCTTTGTTTCCCCTAATTATATTCATGGAAAGTCATCAGTAAGTCTATATTGTTAACCCTGTTATTTTCACTATTTGCAAATGAATTTTAGGGAGCAGGCAGAGGTACAGCAGCCATAAGTGCTCATCTTCTTCTGGGCACTCTGGGAGGTCCTTGTGACCCTCACTTGACAGCTGAGAAAGCAGCTTTAAATACCCAAGGCCCCTTAGGCAGGTCGTATCTGGGTTCATGTGCGCCTGCACTCTCAAGGGAAAATTTGGTCTCAGGTGAAGATTCTGATACAGAATAGAGACATTTTTAAAAACACCCACACAACAAACTCTAACAGCAAGAGTTGTACCCCATTCAAATTAGGACCCCCAAACCCAGGATATCCTGAGCACCTTGTAAGCTATGCAAGCCTCTGCTGGTATCACTGACTGTCTCATAATAAGAAAGGGAGTGAGCATCAAGGAAAATACCCCTGGAACTAGCAAGGTGTAGCTTTCCTAGCAGGGAGGGTTGGCTAGCAGTCGTGGAGTATGTGTGACCTCTTTTATAAACCTCATGGTATCAGTGTTGTGTGAATCCCACAAGTATGCGAGGACACACCTGCCTGTGAGATTCCAAGGTGCCCAGATGCCAACTGAGTGTTAGTATTACCTTTACCATCATCCCCAGGGGATGCACCTATGCTGACATGGACAGAACACCTGTTCAGTGCTGGCAACTGGGAGCCAAGCTAACGTTTCCGGGTGCACTGCCTCACTTTCTGAAATCCCTCCGTGCACAGCTCTTATTCAAGGGAGAAAATAAATCAAGGCTCTCCCTTCGGACCTCCAGCCAGGAACACTTCACACTATGCAATTATTTCTTCCCCGAATGGATGTGAGCTTTAAAAGGAATGGCAGAAAACATAATGTGCCTTGAACAAAGCAGGCCATTAAAAAAATTAAAAAGGTACATATAGTAAGGTCCCAACACAGCAAAAATGAACCCATGAAATCCACCAGAAAAATCAGTTGAGGTAAATATTACAAGGTTAACAAACATTTTTCTGTGAGTGATGGATTCAAAGATAAATTTTATTGCTTCTGTATTCCTTCCTGTAGTTAGCAAATTCTCTGCAATTTTCCCAAATGAGCTAATATATGTCGGAGTGCTTTGTAAAGTGTAAAGTATTCTACAGACTTAAGCAATGTGCCTATGATTGCGTTACTTACCTTTTCAGATTCTAATGTTGGCTGGCTGACTGCTGACTGTGTGGTTGCTGTCTCAAGAGGAAGATACCAGAGGCTTAAATACAGTGTCCTCTTCACCCAGCGACTGGACAATGTCCCAAGCGAGACACTGAGCTGGAGGGGGTGTTTTCACTAACAGATCTGAAAGCTACTGCACCCTGTTGTCACAGGAGAAAACAGGGCTCCCCAACAAGTGAGTAACAGAAACAAAAGATGGATTTCTCCTGAGATAAGACACATTTCCTAAACTGTTTCTTTAGGCAACTGGCTGAGGCACAGGCAGAATTTTACTCGAGGGAAAATGGCCCTTTAAGCAGTTTGCACTTCTGTACTGTCTTCCCAACCCTAAGGAAAATGGTGTAGATTTGCCTTTGAGCTGTCTGAAACGATGGCTGGACATGCCTGAGTGTTCAGTGGAAGTGTGTTTCTTGGCTCTGGTTGAAAGGACTTCTGTTTATAATTGGGTGAAGAAACAGAGTGAGATTATGGGGATAACTGGACACCAGGACCGGATAACTCTGACCCTCATTTTCTATGTGGCCTTGAACAAGCTCCATTTAAATAGAAAAGAAAGGGTCCAAGCCCTTTCTTCACAAAGCATCTTTGGAAAATCAGCAGGTTGCGTGCAGCTGGTCTGACAGGTGCTCCCATTTAATCCTATCACCAGGCCCCACGTGTCTGGGTGCCTATCAGTCTTCTTTGTCATGAAGGCTTTCTCATCTGAATGGTTCAGCCACGTTCAAGGTTACAGTGAGCACAACAGCAAGAACTGAACCTAGGGACATTTCCTCTGAGTTTTTGTAGTCACCATGCCACTATCATGTCAAGTCAAGTGGTCTCTGAGGTCTGTTCTGGTCTAATCATCCAGCTCAGTGGTTCTGTGCTATGGAACAGTGACATTCCTCTGGCAGTTGTCCTTGACAGAGTTACTTGGCTTCTTCTTCCAGCCATGCTCAATCCTAAGGAAAAGCCACATTAAGGACTGTGCTTGGTGGTATACTGGGTAAGAGGAGAGGATCTCAAATATGAGGTCAGCCTGGGCTACAGAGTGAGACAGGTCTCAAGAGAAAACAACTAACTGCTAAAGATACTTTCCTTAAACTCACACAAGAAAGTATCTGGTGACTTCAGATAACATCAGAAAGTCCTTATTTTTTTTTTTTTTAACTCTTTGCATCAACATTTATAAAGGATATGAATTGTTATGATGTTTAAATTGCAGAAGAATGCATCCAAGGAATTTCAACAATATCTGCATAATGGCAACATATTTAATCTAAGTGCTCATCTATAAATATATGTACATACGACAATATAAAAAT